TGAATGGGGGGGGGGGGGAAATAATTGCAAAAATATACCTGATGAGGGGCTAATATCCAAAACATACAAAGAACTCATACAACTCAATAGCAAAAAAAATCCCAAACAATCCAATTTAAAAATGGGCAAAGGACATGAATGGACATTTTCTGAAGAAGATATTCAAATGGCCAACAGATAAGTGAAAAAATGCTCAGTGTAATTAATCGTCAGGGAAATGCGAATCAAAACCTCTAAAGCTGTACCACCTCACACCAGTTAGACTGGCCATCACCAAAGACAACAAATACCAAAAGTTGGTGAGGACATGGAGAAAAGGGAGCCCTCGTGCACTGCTGGTGGGAGTTTAAGTTGGGTATTTTCCCAAAGAAAACAAAAACAGTAATTCAAAAAGACTTACGCACCCCTGCGTTCACAGCAGCATTATATACAGTAGCCAAGACGTGGCAGCAACCAAAGTGTCCATGGATGGACGAATGAATAAAGAAGACGTGGTGTATATCTATCTATTTATTACATCCAATGGAATACTACTCAGCCATTTAAAAAAAAGGAATTCTTGTCATGTGCGACAACTTGGATGGACCTTGAGGGCATTACACTAAGTGAGATAAATCACACAGAAAGAGACAAATACTACATGATCTCCCTCATGCATGGAATCTATAAAAATGCAAACTCATAGAAGAGTTTGGATTTGCGGTTCCCAGAGGCAGAAGACGGGGACTGAGTGAACTGGGTGAAACGGTGCAGAGCTGCAGTTACAAGGTCACTGCGCCCTGGGGACATGATGCACAGTACGGTGACTGGAGTTAACGACACCGCTGTGTATGTGAGGGTTTGCTAAGAGAGCAGATCCCAGGAGTTCTCATCACAAGAAACACATCTTTGTAAAAAACAAAAGGGGACTTCCCTGGTGGTCCAATGGTTAAGACTCTGTGCTGCCAATGCAGGGGGCCCGGGTTTGATCCCTGCTCAGGGAACTAGAGCCCACATGCAAGCTACAACTAAGGAGCCGGCATGCCGCAACTAAGACCCAGCGCAAATAAATAAATAAATATTGTATAAAATAAAAGAACTCTTAAAAAAAAAAAAACATTTTTGTTAACTCTGTGAGCCGATGGGTGTTAACTAACATCATTTTGCAGTATATGGATGGATGTCAGGTCGTCAGGCTGAACACCTTAAAGGTACCCAGCGCTGAACATCAGTTGCCCTCGATAAAACTGAAAACAGAATTCGTCTGCGAAGCCACCGCAGTGAGAAGCCCGTGCACCGCGACGAAGAGTAGCCCAGAGCAGCCCCTGCTCGCCGCAACTAGAGAAAGCCCACGTGCAGCAACAAAGACCCAACGCAGCCAAAAATAAATAATTTATTAAAAAAAAAAATTCGTCTGCTGGTTGATGACGGAGCATATAGATTGTATACGGCCTGTCTTTCCAGGTTAGAAATCACTTTCCATCTGCCAAACCACACCAGCGCTCAGCCACCTATGCATATTTACACACTTGCTGACTGGTGAGCCAACGCGCGGTCGCCACCCGCTCCCGCCACCTTCCAGAAAAGAGCGCGATGCACCCTTCCTCCAGGAGCTGCTGCCAGAAGTCACTGGCCGCCAGCTTGATGGCCTTCTCTGGGGTGACCGCGGTCAGGTTCACCGCAGCTCCTGGAAGGAAACCGCGAGGGTGGGGCGTCTGCAGCCATAGGGACCCCTCGCCCAGCCAGTGAGCTTCCGGGATGAGGCCCCTGGGAGTCGGGGGGCTCCTTTGCCTATTTCACAGAAACGCCCTTTCTTTTCTGCTGCCCCGCTAGGACTGCGTGTGCCCAACGGCTCCTTCGTGCACTTCCCACAAGTCACCTGTGTCTTGTTCGTGCCACCCGCCCCCCGACAAGTGACCAGTTCCCCAAATTCAGCCTGATGGCGAGGTCCTGCGGGGCAGGGCTGGCAGCCGTGTGGGTCCCAGGGCTTCGCCTTTACGCTCGGGGCCACTGCCGCATCAGCCCCTCTCAATCCAGCCTCGTGTCCATCTCGCAAGGCTCGACAGCCACGGTGTGCAGCCCTGGCTGGGGACACTGCGGGGGCGGGGCCAGCGGGAGGTGGTGCCGGGGAAGAGCCCCTCCCTCTGCAGCTGTCCCGGCTCTGGGGTGGAGGGAGCAGAGAAGGTGAGGCTCACTGGCCTCCACCGCCACAGTGGTGCCAGGACGAGGCCCCCGCGCCTCACCACATGCAAATGTGTTCCCGCTCCCCTCGCAGAAGCAAGGTCAAGCCCCCCAAGTCTGTGCCAACCCGGGCCCTGAGGAGCCCGCCTTGGTTCACGCCCAGGAAGCCCTCCCCCCGAGCTGTCTTCCCTGGCAACCCACTGCCGGGGAGGCAGAGGCCAGCACGGTCAGGGTGAGCAGGCAGCCGCCCCGCCGTGCCCAGGCCTGCTGGACCCCGCACCCCGACGCACCCCTGGCCCCCAACATACATTCCTTTGTAGATTTCCTGTCCACGCTGGTTCTGTAGCCGAGCCTCCGCCAAGTCGACGGGGAACACACGGGTCACCCTCAGGAGCCCTGGCACGTCTCCGTTGATGAGTGTTGCTGTGACACTAGGCCCGGGGTCGGGGGTGGGCACAGTGGGGGAGGCTGGCCATACAGCCAGGATGGGATCAGGGGACGGAGGGCAGGACGGAGCGGGGAACAGGCAGGAGAGGCTCCCCAGCCCCTGCCCCACAGGTGTTCAGAGGCTCCTCTCCTCAGCCCAACCAACCCTGCAGGGTGAAAGCACCTCCCCCAGCCCCACAGGGAGCCAGGAGGCTGGGCGGGGGCTTCTGGGAGGGAGGCCAGCTCCGCACCCAGGGGGTTCAGCTCCTTCAGGGCTGCCTCCAGGCTCTCTCTGGCTGGTCCCCACCCTGGAACCACGTGTAAAAGCTTTCAAATGATTTTTCAAGCAGTTTTATTTCCAGCTTAAGGTCAGGACTGAGTGTGAATCCTGGCCGTGCTATTTGCTTCAAGCAGTCACCTGCCTGTGATCTCTCACCCCCCAGTCCCCCAGGTGAGGCTGGCCTCACTCCAGGGTTTGTGAGGATAAAGAGGTTATGTGTTTGGTAAATGAGAGCCACAATCAACAATAAGAACACACGCTTCTTGTAAGGAAGAGAACCAGGGTTAGAGCTTGAGATGATCTGATTGTGGCCAAAAGGAAAGAAAGTCACACTATATACATCGTGAGGTCCCTCGTCCTTGAGTTTGGGAGGCTGAAAATGGAAAACAAGGCTGCTCGGAACCTAGCACAGAGTCCCTCTGTCTCAGGCAGAGGCAGATCCTTGGAGGTAGATTACCTGAGAGAGGATAACAGGATGTTTTTCTCAGGAGTGGACCTTGATAAACAAGCCAGAAACTGAGGCAACAAACAGACTGTGACTTAAGTTTTGCAGCCTGAGAAGATGCAGGGCCAACAATTACCAGTTCCAAGGAGTCCAGGGCACCGGGGGACAGATGCTCTCCCTTGGGACCGGGAGGGGAAGCCGTTCACCTCAAATCCTGGTCGGAGATCGTCGGGAAGTTCCCAGGGCCGCGGCTCCAGTGCAGACAGAGGGAGGTCGGTCGACTGGGAACCCGCGCCAGCTGCCCACGTGCTCAGTCCGCTCTCTTCCTGCACCTCTTGGGCCTTGGGATCAAGGTCAGAGGAAAGGGGGTGAGGATGCTGGCGCTGAGAGGGGAGTCCCGGCGTCTGGAAGGGCGGCCCGTCCTCGTTTCCGGGCAGCCGACACGGCTCAAGTGTCTCCAGCGATTTTGTTTGGGGGAAGAAAAGAGATCAACATCTCTCTTGGTGTGTATTGACCCTTTCAGGAAAAATGGACTGAGTGCCAGGCACTGGGTGCCCCAGGTCCGGGTGAGAACCCTGGTTATCAGGAGCCACACGTGAAGGAGGAGACAGGCGGAAGCCGAAGCAAATCCTGGGGGACAGCCAGTGACCTGCCTCTGCCCAGAAAGACGCAGCAGGGAAGGCGGACGGAGACTCCGGGATGGGGAAATGGAGACCTGAGGCCCCAGAGGGCGTGAGGGCAAGGGCTGCGGGTGTCCAGGAAGAGCATCCAGCGAGGCAGGCGCCGTCCCTGCAAGCAGGGACACTGAGTCACGGAGGTGGCGGGGCTGAGGCCTGACCTCCTGAGGCCTCTTGCCTTCGGCTTTTCTTCTGAAAGAGTCCACTGAAGAGTGCTGAGTCTCAAGGTGACGGGACCACCGGCCGCTGCGTGGAGAGCAGATGGCGAAGGTCAGAGGTGAGGGCGGACGGAGAGGATCCAGGCCGCAGGGGAAGGTGGGCGGGGCGCGCGGGTCGGAGCCGGGACAGGGAGGCTGCAGGCACCGGGTCTGAGCGCTGGCAACACGGGAAACTGGGTCTGTGGGAGGAACAGGGCTGGAGGAGACTGACGGGGGGGATGCTCGATCCCTGCCCTCAGGATCCCTCAGTAAACGAGGTTATTAGCACTGGTTTGCAGTGCTCCGGCCCAAGAGCCTTAATCATCCCCGACATCAGCAAAGGGACTGAGCATCTGCCAACTGCAGACCCGGGCCTGGAGTTGGGGAGAGGAGGTGGCTGGCGCCAGGACTGGAGCCTTAGGAGCCCGAAGGCCAGATTAGTGTCCTGGCTGTTCTTCCAGACACTTGCTAAGCTGTGGAGAGGACGTGTTTAATTCCAGCTGCAGGAAACAACTGGCCGCACGGAAAACCCTTTCTGTCGGAATCCAGACATTCAAATAATTGAGAATCTTGCAGCCGTATCCCCTGCTGTTTGTGGAACTAAATTACTCGTTTATAAATTGTGGTTCTCTGGCCACTGGAACAGAGGTACCTAGAAGAAGCTGGAAAAACCAAGGGCACCCGGATCCCAGGGCCAGTGGAGCCGCAAGTGCCCTTCCACCAGACGATGGGCCCATGCCCCCGGCCACATGCCAGGCACTATGGCCTGGCATCGCCCTCGAGCTGTGAAGGCAAGGTTTGTGGGTGGTGAGTGGACTGTCAACAGTCAGCAGAAAGAAAACTGGCAGCCAGGGCTGCCCTGGAGTCACATCCCACAGATGCTCAGCCCAGAGCGACTGAGGCCCGAGTGCCTGCCGCTCTACCAGAGCTTGTTGGATGCCTGCCGTGTGCAGGGGGTACTCAGCTGAGAACAAAAGCAGGCCCCCCCCCCTCCCTGGCCCCAGGCAAGGGCAATTCTTCCAGAAAGCAGGCCTGAGGCACCCAGGGGCTCAGTGTGCACTGCAGGGACAAGGCCACCCGGGTGTGGGCGCCTCCCTCACGAGAATCTTTCACCCCTTTGACTTGCGAGGCCCCCCAGCCTCCTGGGACCTGTGTTGCTGGATCCCAGTGCCCCAGGACACCCCTCCCTCTGCACACCGCCTGTCTGAGCTGCCCGGCTCCCCCATCAGCATCCTCCCTGCCTTCTGGTCATTCCCTGCCACTCAACAACCAACCCCCAGACCCCGGTGGCCTCTCCCTCCCGTCCCCAAAGCCAAGCAGTCTATACCTTCACGCTTCCTCTGAAAAACAGGGCCACGCACATGCTGGGCGGGGACTCCAACAGAAACTGGGTCAGTGTTGAGAAACCTTTATGGCACCTTGAGTAATTTCATGTTTTAGAATCTAACGATAAAGGTGTGCGCTTTTATTTTTTAAATTCTATTTTTCTAGTAATCCATTTTTGCTGTATTTCACAAAATTACTGGTCCACAGTAGGCTGGGGGGAAACAAGCCCCTCTTCATGGGTAGAAATGCTGCCCAGAGGCCAGCTCCCGGCCTCTGCCCGGCACCCAACCTGCTGCTCACAGGACCCTGCCCCTGCCCGGGGTCCACCTTACGGCACCCCCACACCCTGCTACCCTTGAGCCCCCCACTCACTGTCCCCCTGATGGGACGGAGGTCCTTTGGGCCTCTGTTCCCCGCGTTGGCCCTTTCAGCTGCTCCAACCTTGGCCTCTGTGGGCCCACCTGACACCCAGGTACAGGCCCAGCCCAGGGCTCCAGCCACAGTCTGCGGCTGGCATCCCATCCAGATGCTCGGTCTTGAGGAGTGCCCCGAGCCCCATCCTGTGCCCCCTCCCACGGCCCTTGGCTCCCCAAGTATGCGAGGCCCTGATCACCTACTGGAGGCCTCCAGGATTGGAGCCCTGGTGCCGCAGGCCCCAGGGCACTGCACTTCCCCACGCGTACAGTGCCCGTGCAGCAAAGGAGACAAGGCCGTGCCGCAGCCTCCTGTCTGCCAGAAGCGGCTCCTTTCCTCCTCACTCTAAGCTCGACATGGACAGTCAGTCACCCACCTTCAGCCAGAGCTTCTGCCTCTCTACTCCCTCGATGGAGGCCAGATCCCTGCCCGCTGTGGGACGACTGCTTTGTGAGACCTCCACTTGCCTACAGCAGCCCCTTCACCCCGAGTCATCTCCTCTCCTGTTTCTCCAACAGGAGGGCTTGAACGAAGCCCCAGAGGCTATTACTCAGGGGCGGGGGCCGGGGGGGGGGCGTGCAGCCCCACCTCTCCAGGGGCCTGGAGGTCAGGGAGGAGGACGAACAGCAGCGGCCTGCAGGCCTGTTCCAGTGATGTGCTGGCCTCTCCGCACGGATACCTTCTGTCCCTTTAGGGGGAGAGGGCGCTGCAGGTTGGTCTGCAAGGTCCCTGCACTTTCAAGAACATCACAGCTGAGCTGGGAACTCGGTGCTGCCCTAAGGATTCTTCCAACTCAGGGGCTGGAAAGCTTTAGGGAGGAATGTGATGGTCTTAAAGACCAGCTTCCCGAGCGGTCAGGCTGCGGGTCCAGACGCAGGGGACCTTGTTGCCCAAGTCAGCACCCCCTGCTTTAGCCAAGTGATCTCACTCAGTGCGTTTCATCTCCACGTCACAGCCTTGCTGAGGACCACGCAGGGCAGCGGGGATGAATAGGCTTTGCAGTCGGGCTGCTTATGAGCTGCATGATCTCGTTTACCACTCACTAGCTGTGTGACCTTAAGCAAGTTACTTAACTTCTCTGTGCCTGTTTCCTCAACTATGAGACACACTCTGATATAGAGAACCTGGCACAGCACCTAGCACATACGAGGCGTCCACTTAATGATACTGTCCCTCCCTTTCCTGGTGGCAGTGGATGCTGACACAGGGTGTGAAGTTGGGTCCAGAGGGCAAAGGCCAAGGACATTACGATAATCCAGGAAGAGGCAGGAGAACCTGCAGTGGGAGGGAAGAGATGTGAATGCTTTCTGGGAAGCAGCAGCATGGCCAGATGCCATGTCTGAACCCCCAACCAGCAGGAGGGGCATCAGGAGGGCTGCGGGGGTGAGGACGTGGGGCAGAGAGAAAAGCCTGGCTGCTGGCATGAATTTAAAGCATCGCCACAGAAGAGACACCATCGCACAGCAGCTAGGATGCTACAGACAGAGACGGAGCTGCTGGCTGGGCCTGGCGCCCTGCGGGCAGGAACGTGAAGTGGTGCCGCATCCCTGGGAGACAGGATGGCAGCCCCGTGAGAAGTTAAAACCTGAGTTCCTGGGCTTCCCTGGTGGCGCAGTGGTTGGGAGTCTGCCTGCTAATGCAGAGGACACGGGTTCCAGACTTGGTCTGGGAGGATCCCACATGCCGCAGAGCAACTAGGCCCGTGAGCCACAACTACTGAGCCTGCGTGTCTGGAGCCTGTGCTCTGCAACAGGAGAGGCCGCGATAGTGAGAGACCCGCGCACCGCGATGAAGAGTGGCCCCCGCTCGCCACAACTAGAGAAGGCCCTCGTACAGCAACGAAGACCCAACACAGCAAAAATAAATAAACTCCTACCCCCATCTTCTAAAAAAAAGACACAAGAAAACCTGAGTTACCTTATGACCCAGCAATTTCACCACTGGGTGTGCACCCAGATTTGAAAGCAGAGTCTCGGACATGTAACTGTGCACCCATGTTCACTGCAGCATTATTCACAGTAGCCAGAAAGGGGAACAACCAAAACACCCATCGACGGGTGGTGCATAAACACAATGTCGTCCATCCACACGGTGGAGTGTCACTTGGACTGAAAAGGACGGCGCTTCTGACACCTGCTATGACACGGATGCACCGTGAGGGCACTGCGCTCAGTGAAATAAGCCAGACACAGAAGGACCGATACTGCATGATCCCACTTATCCAAGGAAACTGGATCAGTCAAAATCACAGACACAGAGTAGTAAAAGTGGTTACCAAGGGCGGGGGGGGTTAGTGTTTAATGCGGACAGAGTTTCAGTTTGGGATAAAAAACTTCTGGGGCTGGATGGTGTAGTGCTTGCATGATGATGTGAGTATGCTCAATGCAACTGCAGCACACACTTACCAATGGTGAAAATGGTAAGATTTATGTGTATTTTACAATAAGAAGCAAAACAAAGAGGTGAGTAATGAAGGTCGAAAATCACATTTAAACATGAATGGGGGGCACTGGGGAGCAGAGGAAGGTGTCCACATTAATGTGAATTACAGTAAAATGGTTGAGAAAGAGTTTTATAAACAATATACAAGGTGTAGGAAATAAAGTCTGGAAATACAACTGCAAACTGTTTACTAATTGAAGAATTTAAAACACTGGCAAACGAAAAATTACAAAACAGCAGCAGGACACATGGGTGTCCAAGTCCAACAGGGATTTGGAAAGGGTGTCATCATCTCAGAATTGATGGAAGCGCCAGTCGGCTGCAGTGACAAGTGAGGTTACAGGTAAAAAAGCCTGGTAGTCTGGAGGAGGCGTCCAGAGGAGAGGGGGTGGGAGTGGGGTGAGATGGGGCCGTGGGACAGGCCTGGGCCGTTCCAGGAGGGGCTGATGCACTGCCAGGGGCCACGGAGGAGGGGACGGCTGCGAAGTGGGTGCGGCCAAGGCAGCAGCTCAGTCCCCACCTCCAGGAAGGGAAGGAGGAGCCAGACGCTGCGAGGAAAATGCCAGGTGAAGAGCTGGGATGAGTTTGGATGAAGGTAAAGAGAGGAGACGGAGGCAACGTTTACGGGGAGGGGACCCAGGGGAGGGGGTGGGTGCGGTCAGAGGACCTGCTGGGGGGGTGTGTGGAGCGAGGACAGTCCAGCCCCATGGACCTCAGGACGCTCCAACCCAGGGTCCAGGGTCTGATCTTAATGAGCCCTCATAGGATTCCTGTGCACACACCGAAGCTGCAAGTTTTGGAGAGTGGTTTGCAATACTGACGGTACAAAGGTCACCAGGAGAGCTCTGAAAAACCCCGACGCCAAGGCTGCGCCCCAGACCAGGGAAAAACTCTGTGGGGAGGGCCCAGGCATCTGATTTTTTTTAAATCCAGGTTTTTAAACCCCTAATGGGTGGCCTAGATTGGCAACCATTGGTCTAGGGCATTGCAAAGCCGAACGTAAGGTCACTAAAATTTGCTGAATCAATCACAACAGCAGCGGCGGGAGACACCACGGGGAGTAAACGGATGGACGGCAGAAATGACTGGACAGCAGGTCTGCTGGGTTTAGACCCCAAAGCATCCACCAGTCCAAGGGTGGGACTCGAAGCAGAGACAGGCGAACGGGGTGGGGGGTGGTGGGAGCGAGGGGCAGGTGTCAGGAGGGCGGGGCTCATCAGCCCTGAAGCCACACGCACCCACTCCGCACCCTGCCTCAGGCCCACAGGCGTTGGCTGAGGCCCAGCGCACTGTGATTTCTCAGGTCTGGGACAGGAAGCCGGAATCCGCACTTCTAACGAAGCCCTGGGCAGTGCTGCAGCCCAGAGCCACACTGGAGCCCCCTCCCTGGGCCAAGGGACACAGAGGACTCCTCCCAAGGCCAGCTCCACCCCTGCGCCTTGGGGATCACTTCCGGAGGCTGTTTTCTGCGCTGTGTCACCTTCACTGCAGTTCAGCCTGGCCGGGAGCAGAGCTGGGGTGAAAGGGGAGAGAGGGACTCAAGCCAGAACAGGGCTCAGAGGAGACCGAATGGAACAGGCCTGAGAGGGCCTGAGACCCTGCCCCTCAGGGTCTGGCCCTGCGCCGGCATCTCTCCCGACCCACCATGGCAGCTCAGCACTGCGTTCTGCTCATATGTTGCTCTCGTCCAGCCTTTCTGCCCTGTTTTTCTCCCTTTACTGTGAAGTCTGCAGACAAAGCCGTATATTTCCTTCTGTCCTGTTAGTAAGTATGCGAGAGCCAGGCACACAGAAGGGATTTAATAAATACTTACTGAGAAGGTGACTGCGAGTTAGTGTCTGTTTTCATCTTAGTTCCTGGGGCTGGGCCACGTCCTTGCCTTCCTCCTGCCGACTCAATTCTTCCCCAAAGCAAAAGCTGTGGACACGCTCCAAGGAACCAACTGCAAGGCTCTAAAAAATAACACCCAGCCTTAATTGGCCAGAACAGCTCTGCCATCCTGCCACTTGCTGTATGGAATGAGGTTCAGACCCAAGCAGCTAGGAGCGGGCAGTGCTTTTCCAAGTCGGAAGACGTCTCAAAGGCACCTGAATTGGTACCCACATCAGGGATGCAGAGGGGGTGGGGCTTCAGAACACAACAGCCAAATCGGGAGACTTTCCAGCTGCCTCCTTGGCTAGTATGTCACCGTCCATCTTTCACTCAAGATTTTTGCTAGAATTGCCTAAGGAAACTAAAGGAGTGAACCCTGGTAGCAGAAAGGGAACAAAAACAGGAGCACAGATGTTCCCCTTTTAAAAACCCAAAGGAAAACCATGAGGCCAGGAGACAGATCTCCAGGATGCAGTTGGGGGAGGGGACAGGGTGAGCTGCGGCAGCCTGGACACTCAGCCCCGACACTCAGCCCAGAGGCATTTCTCCCAAAGTCCTCTCCACAAAGTTTGAGGGTGAAGGTCGCCTCCAAGGGCCCGACCCTGGGTTAATCTCACCCTGGAAGTGCCACTTGTTTATAAAATTAAGACATCTTTCCTCCCAATGACAGGAATAGGTTTAGAGACAAAAGCCATTACTGTCTAACAAGACCTCTGGATGTTTCCAAATGTCAAAATGGAAAGTTCTGGGCTTCCCTGGTGGCGCAGTGGTTGGGGGTCCGCTTGGGACTCGAAGCAGAGACAGGCGAACGGGGTGGGGGGTGGTGGGAGC